TTTGCTAATCAATAATTTAGGAGAAACTGCTATATTATTCTACAAACTACAATTAAGTCTATATTACCGAACTAAAAGGTAAGGGAAAATTAATTAATTTAAAGATTATAAGCACCCGTTTGCTAATCAATATTTAATATGCAACAGCTGAAACTGCGCAAGCTAGGGATGCCTACGACGCAATCGGATTTATGTTTGAAGAGGTGTTGAATTAGCAAAAGTATGTCGTAATTGATACCCGGTAATTTATACTAAATTTAACATACTGAAATCCTTTTAGGAATTTATAACATCGTTTACTCTCAGAATAAATGTTCATGAATTCGGTAAATTGTGGCGATGTCCGCAACTTTTCTTCGAACACACACCGTCATCAGCATGTTGTCTTAACGTGCATTGTTCTGCCAAGCAGTTGTCGATATCTTTAACATAAAAGTTATAAAGAAGAGGTGTGAGACATGAGCCTTGGGACAGGCCCATATAACTAATACTGGAAGTTGTCAGTTGTGCAAAAGAAAAGTTCATCTGATTTTCTGACAACAAAATGTACAAGAAATTATTAAAAATTCCAGAAAGTCCACATCTGTGCAGATTGTCTGAATCAAAAGCCCCTTTATTATCCAAAAATACTGAATCCAATTGCTCCTTCTGCGCAAAGGCCAGTTGAATATCTGTGGAATGTGGAATGGCTAATACAGTGACCTGTCTCCATTCAGGCAGTATAAAGGGCGACCACGAAATTATTGCGACACCGAAAATGTAATGCCAATTTTCTTATAATGTTTAGAATCAAACCAAAATTTTAGGATACTTTTATACATATATTTACTTCAAAAATCAAAAGAAAAGTTAATCGATGGAACCTTGAGTGTAAAATTGAACGCATTTTCGCTTGATGCCCTCCATCAAAGTCTTTACAGTGTCATCCGGTACCAGTTTCTCAGTTTTTTTCCATTTTCTTAAGATGTCCTTCTCGTCTTTGACTGTCTTCTTGCTCTTCCGAAGTTCCCGCTTCATTATTTCCCAGTACTGCTCCACCGGGCGCAGCTCCGGACAGTTTGGCGGATTCATGTCCTTTGGAACAAAATGGACAGAATTGGCCTCATACCACTCCAGGACACTTTTAGAATAGTGGCATGATGCCAAATCTGGCCAAAATAGCGGAGCTTCGTCGTGCTGCTGCAAGAACGGCAAAAGGCGCTTCTCGAGGCACTCAGATTTGTAGATCTCGCCATTTACTGTGCCCTTTGTCACGAAAGGCTCACTCCTTAGTCCGCAAGAGCAGATGGCCTGCCAAATGAGATATTTGGAGGCGAACTTCGACATTTTCTTCTTCTTAAATTTGTGGTCCACATCGAATTTGCTCTTGCCGGTGAAAAACTCCAACCCCGGAATTTGCTTAAAATGGGCTTTTATATACGTTTCGTCGTCCATCACACAGCAGCTATATTTTGTCAGCATCTTCTCGTAGAGCTTCCATGCCCGAGTTTTAGCCGTCGATTGTTGCCGCTCATCGCGGTTTGGGAAGTTCTGTACCTAGTATGTATGTAGTCCAGCTCTCTTCTTTGCATTCTGGACGTAGCTCTGCGACATGCCGATCTTTTTAGCCAAATCACGGCTTGAGACGTTGGGATTTGCTTTAATCATCCGCTTCACCTTTCCCTCCATCTTTTTGTTCTCCGGTCCCGGTTTTCTTCCAGCTCCTTTGCCGTGGTTCAACGTCAACCGCTCCTGGAACCGCTTCAACACTCTGGAGACGGTTGAATGGGGAATGTTCAACATTTTTCCCAACTGCCGGTGCGACAGGTCAGGAAATTCCAGGTGTTTGGAAAGAATTTGTTCTCTCAACTCGCGTTGGTTCACCTCCATTTTCGTTGAATCGAAAAACACGACTTCGAGTTTGACAGCATGTACACAATACACATCAATGAGAAAGTGTGCAAAATTTGGTTGATTTTTACCCAATGGTAAAAAAAAGTTAAGCCCTGTTGAATGTGTCGCAATAATTTCGTGTTCGCCCTTTAATGTTGTTTTCTAGTAAGGAATTGAATAAGTTTAGCAAGCGTCTTTTAGCGATATCTGGGAGATTATCCAGAAGATTTAATTAAATTATATCGCTTCCCGATGAGGAGTTGTTCAATGTTACAAGAGTCATAGATTCCAGCATTGTGTCACCGAGACGCTTCTCGAAGAATATGTTGTGCTGGAACTGAGTCCGGACAGAACCTTTTAGCGAAATCGAATGTTGTGAGCCACCCTACACAAGGTGTTCTTGATTTTTTGCTTTGATTAATTGTTTCAGCTTTGTCTCAAACTTTGAATATTCCTCGAAGTATGTTCAGATTTTCTCTACATACAATTGTGTGAATTCTTCGTCCCATCCAGGTGCAGCTGGTCTCCTTTTGAAGGGTGCACTTGGAACTTTTCTTTTTTGTGCTTCCAGGGAGCTTTTGTAAATCAAATCGGTGAGGAATCGATATCGATTGTCACCGCCGTTGCATATTTATGCCAGTCGATGTTCCTTGTAAGATCAAATGGAACTCGAGATGGTTCTGCAGAGTGAGGGTCACACTTAATTGAAATGATGATTGGCAAATAATCACTATCATGGGGATCATTGATAACATTCCACAGACAATCCAATGATAGCGATCTTGACCACAAAGATAGATCGAGTCGGCTTTCTCGAGCCGGAGGTTTTGCTTTACGTGTCGCTTCACCTTGAACACTGTCAAGTTGAAATCGTCCTATAAATCGTTAAAAATAGCCTCTCTATTGTCATCGTATAGATCGCCCCACTCAGTACCATGAAAGTTCATATAACCCAGAAATAATACTGGGGATGGCAGAATCAAAACTAGATTCCAGAGTTGACTACGGCTAATGGAGGTTCTTGGTGAAACGTATACGTATATACAGTGTATCGCAAAATTGAACGTACACCCTAATGGTTTTTTTTTGAAGCATTGTAAATAGATATTTTCTTTTAAATCTTAGCTGGTGGTTAAACAGATATTTATTGATTTTTCCTTATAGTTGTGGACATTACTGGAATAACCTGTATGAAGTTAGTTTTTTTTAGTAAATCGCTCGATTTTCAACTTTTTATCTAGTGGATAAATTTTAGAAAAATTAGTGGTTTATTAATGACCTTTATTATGACTAAAAATGAGCAAACATTCAAGAAGTTTAGTTCATTGCATTTCAAGATCTTGAGGTATTTAAAAAAAAGCGTTTTTCTCAAACACCTCTTACTTTTAATAAACGCAATCAAATAAGCCCAATACTGTACCAATAATTGATTCAGCAGCCAAAAAATCAGAAACGTATCTCTTTAAATTGGGCTTTTTTTTTCTTCTAAAATTTAATGACATCTGTACGCTCGATTTTGAGATACACTGTATACTAAAGCTATGCAAAGATCTTTGTTCTTCACATTTATTTGACAAGCGACGATTTCAACGCCTGGAGCACCTAAGTAACCAACAAGCCCGCTAATTCACCTTTTACCCTAATTTACCCTTTCTACAAAATTTCCCTTATTAAGTAACCAACAATCCCGCTAATTCGCCTTTTTGTAATATAAGGCTAGTATGCACGTAATATAAACCTGAACATGTCCTATGTTAGCCGTGTATTTATTGCAAAAAGGCGAATTAGCGGGCTTGTTGGTTACTTGGGCAGGAAGGGAAATTTTCGTAGAAAGGGTAGCACTTTTTGATCCTTAAAAGTACTCCTCCAAAAGAATCGTCTCTATCCAGGCGAATAATGTCAAAATCGTGAAAGATAAGTTATTTATCGGAAGAAAGCCATGTTTCACAGATAGCAAAATAATGTATCACAATCAGAATTGTAAAAATATGAACAAGTCTAGTTTAGGCACTAGACTACGGCAGTTCCACTGTATATAGCGCAGTAATCATATCTTTGACCTGGTTTATGAATTATCCTTCGTAAGATATGATTGATGCAAGGAGGGGCCATGAAACAGTCAATTGCTTAAGAAATGATTCTTATGTTGGAAGCAAGGCAGAAACTAAGCTTCTAAGAGGGTCTTGTATGTTGAACATATTTAATATGAATCCCACAATGTACGAAAAAGCTAGCAAACCTCGTTCGGACTTGGATTTCTTTTGAGAAGTTTGAGGAGCAGCTTAAAGTTAAAAGAATATCCTTTTTATCTCTTGTTTAAATTGATAAACATCGAAGACGAAAATGTTCTATCCCTTAACTGGACGAAGTTGTAGAATGAAAATGGGGTACAAACGGTAGTATACTCCTTATAAAGTGTGTTTTTACCATAACTCTTTTGTTTGAACAATGTTCTACAGAAGTGTAAGTGCGTTAAAATTCACATTTTTGCAGAAGGAAACAAATGGCTATCTCTTCGTTTTAAGGTTTTACGTCCGTTTTCATAACTTTTGAACACTATATTTAAGCTGGTGTATCATGCAGGTGGGTAGGTATTAGCAGCTAATCTCAACGTAATTTTGTTCAACAACAGTTACTTATACCCTACTGTTACATATATACAATTCATAGTGGGGTCCAAGTGCATGGCTTATACATTTTCAAATAAAGTATCTCAATGTTTTGTTACGTTTTGCTGTTTTCATGACCATTTTTCCAATTATGTAGTGGGTCCACTTCCCCCCATGCGTATCGAGGTCTCCAACAACTGTGCAAAATTTGAACAAATTTGGTTATAATCTCGATTGCGGGATAATTTTAAATTTTGTATGTGAAAATGTACGAACGATCCTATTCAATTGCTTACCAAAAATCCAAATATTGGTCAAATTTCACCAAATCTCGGACATAGATTGAGAATACTATACAAAACAACTTCGTCGAAGGCTGCAACGATGAAAGTTGCAGACGGAAATTTTACGAGTAACTGATTAGCTGATTTCTTATCGCTCAAATTTGCGAGAATTGCTGCAGGGAGTCTGACTGAAGACTAGGTTCGAAGCTGTTGAAAAAAAACATTATACCAATAATTCATCTCCAATGCATTGCCTTTATTCGATTCTTCAACATGAACACTAACGAAGGCCTAACAATAATAGCTTACACACTTCACTGAAGCTGTAAATCGTCTCTAACTACTATCCCCTCTTACTGTTCTCGTCGAACACAATCTTATAAACATCTGCATACTGGTCAACGAAATGCACTTCCAATCCATCCGTGATAAACTTAGGCAGATCGGTGTAATCTTTCTTATTCTCCTCCGGTACAATAATACAATCCACCCCACTTCGTTTGGCAGCGATTGTTTTCTCTTTAATACCACCAACCGGTAGAACCTTGCCCATAAGTGACACTTCCCCGGTCATCGCTACGTTCTGCCGGATGGGTATACCCTTGGCAAGAGACATCAGCGCTGTAACTATCGTAACACCGGCACTTGGACCATCTTTTGGCGTTGCTCCCTCTGGGACATGCAAGTGAATGTGACTAGACTCGAGGAAATCGTTATTCGGGTCGTCCCGTTTAATGTAATTTCGTGCCACGGTAAGAGCAATTCGGGCAGATTCTTTCATCACGTCGCCCAAATGACCGGTTAGTTCTAGTGATCCATCGCCTGTTTTGTCCTTTGGCTCGATTAGCTTTCGTTTGGCGGTTTCGATATACAAAGCAGAACCACCCATGGCTGTCCATGCCAGCCCCATGACCACCCCCGGTGGCGTCGATTCGTACATTCGATCATGAGTAAAAATTGGTTTGCCTACCAGTTCGTTGAGATTGTCGCCAGTGATTTCAGCTGATTCAATTTCCTTGCGAACTATTTTAAATGTCACCTTCCGAAAAACTTTCTCTATTTGCTTCTGCAGGTTTCGCACTCCAGACTCACGACAGTAAGAGCGAATCAACAAGTTCAACGCTTCGTCGGTGATGTTGATATGCTTATCCTCCAGTCCGCAATTCTTTTTTGCTTGAGGAATCAGGTATTGCTTTGCGATTGCCACCTTTTCCTCAGCAACGTAGCCTGAGAATATTTATAGCTGGTGAATAAGGATTAAAAAAACAGTTTCATCAGATTAGAAATTACCTGACATATCAATCATTTCCATACGATCTCGCAATGGCTCAGGAATGGTATCTATAACGTTGGCTGTGCAAATGAACAGTACTTTGGATAGATCAACTGGTACATCGAGGTAATGATCGAGGAAATTTACGTTTTGTTCCGGATCTAAAAGTTCGAGAAGCGCCGAACTGGGATCACCTTGATAACCTCTGTAATACGTGGAACGTTATGAGAACATATTTCTGAGTTCAGATGAATATGGTGATTAAACCTTACTTTCCAATCTTATCGACCTCGTCTATCAGTACCAAAGGATTTTCCGTTTTAGTCTTCTTCAAACACTGTATTAATTTTCCTGGCATCGCTCCAACGTATGTCCTACGGTGGCCCTTGATTTCCGCCACGTCAGTCATTCCACCGACACTGAACCGGAAGTATTCCCGATTGAGCGCCCGTGCAATGGAACGAGCAATACTCGTTTTACCAACACCCGGTGGTCCATAGAAGCACAGGATTTTGCCTTGAGTCGTACCCTTCAATTGACTCACAGCAATAAACTCCAGAATGCGCTTCTTAATGTCCTCCATGCCGTAATGATCTGCATCGAGAATTTCCGAGGCACGATCAATGTCCAAGTTTTCTTCACTCATAACACCCCAAGGGAGCGTCGTCAACCAATCCAGGTAGTTTCGGGTCACACTGAACAGGAAAACATTTAGGTGAGTTTGATAAACATTACAACAAGAAAACAAATCGACTTACTTGAACTCCGAACTATGGCTCTCCAGGAAATTAAGTTTATTTAATTCTTCCTCTATAACGTCGGCGACCGCTTTGGGGACCACCTTGTCTTTGATGCGCTCGCGGTACTTCTCCCCAATGGCGTCCTTGTCTTCTTTCTCGATACCAAGTTCCTTCTTGATAACTTTCAGTTGTTCCTGTAGAATGTATTTCCGGTGCTGTTGTTTAACCTTTTCTTCCACTTCCCGGCCAATTTTGGCTTGTAATTTCGAAAGCTCGAGTTCCTTTTTCAGCAGTGACAGGGCCAGCATCAATCGTTTGGGTATCTGAAAAAAAAAAACAAATCATAGAGTGAGTTGATAAAATATTTAATGCCTAGCAGCCCTTCGCCATAATCCAATGTGGAAAATATTTAATCCAGTAAAAAATGTGAAAACATAATAAAAAGACTGGCAACTCTCCCATTTTCTCATACGACCGGTATAAGACAGGCACAATCGCGTCATCTATCGTTCTAAGGTAAATGCTCCGAACGAATTGGAAAGCAAAGGTTTGTGTATTTGCTCATTTTGTCTATGCTTTACTTCCACCTTCGCTCGATCACAGCGCTTCTGTATCTGGCGTCGCTTGGATTATGGCAAACTTGCCAGTCTTCTTGATATGTTGTCTTCGATTTTACGCTAAAATCAGTGTTTTTTTTTATAGTTTGTAGTTAGTAAAATATTTCAGAGATACGATATTTTAATACGAGGAAAATCGAGGAATATGTATGTCACTCAGTCTACTAGAATACTCCTTAGACTGAGTAAATGCTTTGTCTATTTTCCGGTCTATATTACGGTCCTCAAGCTTTAAAGAGGTTTCCTGAAAATAAACAATGTTCCCTTAGCTTCTACAAATCTCTCCAAAATTGTACAAAGTTCCCACTTCTACAAAGTTTCCTGAATTTGTGATGTGTCTAGAGTCTTGAGTTATAACTATTTTGCCGCTGCCCTCCAATAACGTTTTCCTATTTCTGCATTTACCTACCAAAGTAGGTATCAACACTACATACTTCAAAAATATCTTAATGTCCTATTAAATTATTTTCTCCCAAGAAAGCAACGCCATGCTGCCTGAGCGTAGTCGGTAGATCGGTGATGATTAAAAGTTACTTACATCCATTTCTTCCAGAATACCCTGTAGCTCTGGCGGATCTGCTGCTGACAAAGAAGCTCCCAAATCACACAGATACACTGGATTATCAACGACACGTTGATTTTGATTGAGCATCTGCTGTAAACTCTCCCTGAAAGATAGAAACTGTATTAAACACATGTTTCGCTCCATAGTTTAACTAGTTTTCCATACCGGTAAAGAGGATTCATCGTGATAATGTCCCGAATGGTTTTGATAACTTCCTGCGTCAGTGCTTTTACCTCATCCGTGTGCTTGAACGATTCATGTTTGACATTTTCAACCTCTACCATCAGTAAGGGCTGTTGCTCTCCTTCCTGAAGCAACCGTTTCTTTGGAGGTTCCTCAACTGATTCGCCGTCCAAGGTACTGTCGTTGTTGACGTTCCGTATAATTTTCTTATTTCGGTTCTTGTGCTTCCGACGTCGTTTTTCGGCGTCGCTCTCGTCCACTGAGACATTGATTTGCGTTTTAGAGAACGGATATTTTATTGTCATTGCTGTGAGATTTCGGTTAGAATGTTCTATGTTTATTGATTTTGAGCTAAAAGTTTAATACATACGCTTTCCCTCATGGATGGCATCCAGATCCTCGTACAACTGGCCAACGATTTTTATACGTCTATGGGCCGTCACTACTAGACGGAGCTTATCGCCCAGATCTTGCATTTCTTGAATTTGTGCAAATGTACCAACGTCGTAGACTTCGGACAGATTGTCCACCACTTCGTTGGGATTTTCGTCATCTTTTTTGAGGAAAATACCAGCATATGGTTGGTTTAACTTTACCTTCCGTCTAATTAGGTCAATTAGCATTGGGTTTGTTACCTACAAAAGAAACTAAGCGTGTATAATCGCCAACAATCAATATACCTATAATTTACCTCTAAGATCTTCATGAATCTGGGGAAAACGGGATTCCGCTTGGTTGCAATCACTGGCAGGTGAGGCCATACCTCCGGAATGGCTACAGTCGCTGGGAGTTGACTTGAAAACGGCACAGGTTCCGGATCTATTCCCGGCTCATCTTCGTCCGGATCTCGTTTGCTGCAAAACGCACGCGAACTCAAAACTTGAACCGAGTATAGAGCATTCCGCATTGGCACGTTGCTCCAGTGGTTCCGCATCAACATTCCACGGACATGGTTCACCAATGCTCCCTCACTTCGCCGAACGACACCAGTCGCATTAGAGTTAAATGATCGGACGGTCGCACTGGAATATTCGTTCACATGGCGGACAAGAAAGTTCGATGCTGGTCGACTAAATCTACACACTAACTGATTCATTTTATCAACCACCTTTCAGTCAATCGCCTAGGATGTAATTAATGAATAACCGGAACGTCCTTAACATGTATTTCAATTAAATAATCGACTAAAGTATTACATCAGCTTGCATGTTTTTTAAAGTGAACGAAATCACTGGAAAAAAGTGACAACCACGAATGCCATGCGTAAAAACCCGGCGTTGCATAATTTATTTACATTCAAAACGCCAAACTTTTTTCACTGGGCAAGCAGTTAAAGGACCCAGTAAACGCGATAAAGGCCAAATAATGTTGCGTCGCGCACGCACACAAACAACCGTGGAGCACAGCAGCCAGTAGCCAAACCAGCAAGTTTTTATCAATCAATCGTGAGTTTGTTCGGCAAGCGGAGGTTTGCATCATTTCGCTGTGAGGTTTTGCGAACGGTTTTTTACGTGAATTTCGCGTGTGACCCATACCGATCGGTAATAGTCCAATAGGTTAAGCGTAAAACATCGTGTATCAGTTGAAATGATGTGCATTAATGTCGTGAAAACCAATATTTTAAAGTGGTTTGTCTGACGTGAAAGGAAATTTAAATAACCTCACTTTTCTTCCTCTTTGTGTCGCATTTTTCTCGCGGGATTCATAGCGTGTGAGGTTTTGGTGGGCGTACGTGCATGTGTGTGTTGCGGACGATCATGGATTGATCTATGTGCGATGGTAGTTGTGTACGAAAAATTCCGAAGGACGACAACGCACAGTGAATAGCAGTGTTGCCATATGTTGGCACTCAATCATAATTTTAATGTTTTTTCATGCATAATATTTTTGACTTATCGTCACTTATTGTTAACGTGATTTGTATACAATAAATAACGAATAATCATTCAGCTAGCGGTGGGTAAGTAATTTCTAATTTGTTGCTACAGATAACGAAAACCTGTCAGTTATAATACTTTCAGGTCAAGGAAAAAACAATAGATTCATGCAAGCTGTCAGTTTTGATCCCACAACTACTGACAGCATGGTGCCACATTCCTATGCACAGTGATCTACCCAAAAAAAAGTGATCGTTTGAGATGAGTGGGAAAACTTCGACGGTGAGCATGCATAAAGGCGTAAACGCGATGATCGATTCTCTTCGTCGATTTTCTCTTTTGTTAATAATTCGCTACAATTAACGTTTTTCGGTGCGTTTGCTGTTGCTTTTGATAGCCAATACAGTCTGTTACAACTCTAAATTGACCAAATTTTTGAGAAAAAAAATGTTTAGCTGTAGCAATGCAAAGATAAAATCGGTGAAGAGAATGTATCATCGCGTATACGCCCTTATGCATGCTCACTGTCGACTTGATTTTAAGTATGTGGTGTCTGAAAGATAGTTTCAATTGAAAGATCTATCTTTTGACGCTATTCGTTATTGAGTAATTCCCCTGGAAGTGAGATGATTTTTTCCCCAAATGTCAATATTATAATGCATTACATTGCTGAAGCACAGACAAACAGACATAGCACATTGAATATTTTTCACTAAAACATCGTCGCTAAAACATTACCGCCATCTGTTGAGTACGCTGAACAGATAGCGGTAGTGTGTAATACCCCGTTCACATTACAGCGTATATCACGTGATATACGCTGTCTTACAATGAGCACTCATGCATCTAGCTTTCACTGGAAATCCTATGTATGAGTGCTCATTGCAAGACAGCCTATATTACGTGATATAGGCTGTAATGTGTACGGGGTATAAACATAGAGGTAACTCTAAGACCAGAAGGTCCCGAAGAAATGAGCTCAACTTTTTGGCTCAGCTCTCTGGTACTATCTTCGGTCCCAAGCTAATCGATGCACCCCTCGAAACAGGAAAATCCACAAACCCCTCATTTTATCTGTCAAACTTTCATAGCGAATCAAAACAAACATAATGTAGTACTGGAATTTATACTAGAATGGGGTACGTTAATCGATTTGCTTGGGACCAATAGGCTAGTCAAGTAGTGAGCCAATTTAAAATCGATAGTTTCGTATTGATTGTTGGTATAAACGTCAAACGCATGAGAATTGAATTTGCACGCCTCAGGTGGCGGTACTACCAACTAATGTCGTTTTCGTTTTTGCGGTGTAGCTACACCGGTGCTACACTGCCGTACACCGAAATATTTTACGGTGTGGATATAGGATGCACCTTTGTTTACCAACAAATGATGTTGAGCTGTCAAAGACTCGCGCTTATTTCTGCTTACACTACACCGGTGCTACACCGCAAAAACGAAAACGACATAAGATACTTTTCAATTGACCGTTAAATGTTTGATGAACAACTTGCGAGAGTTATGTCTGTTTGTCTGTGGCTGAAGAATACATTATTACAAGAAAGTGTCCTGAAGACACTAACTTTCCATGTGCTCGTTTAAGTCAGTTAAATTGTATTGTTCATATATGACCCACTAAAATCTGTTTTTTTACATAACTTGTTTTTTGGCGTTCGCATGTGGCGGTGGCCGAGAACATTTCTAGACTAACATTTGAAAAGGGCGTAATTCCAAAATGGCCATATCGAGAAAATCGCTTCTGAATTTTGTTGACCTAAAAATTAATCCTATTACACGACTTTCCATTTTCTGGTTGATTTTATAAGCTTGACATATAGTTAATAGTGTAATCTATCATCGTGCATCACTAAAAACTCAAAAAAAGTTTTCTTTGTCGTGAAATTGAGAAGAAAACATCATACGCCCTGATAATTTCATACATGTTGTTACCCCCCAGATCATCCACCCTTTGAACTGCCAACACTGGTGATACGCCGTGGAAGTACACCCTCGGGATTTTTTGTTTGTTGTTCCGCCTTGGTTCTTCGTTCGCAAATTTTGTGAGAGTGGAATTACGCCCGGAGATTTTTTGGTCTTCTTTTTGTTCGTTGTTTACACGTGAAATATCAATCGGATGCGTTTCAAATGAATCGGGCGTGACTAGATACTACAGACTCAATACGTTTGGCATATTAAAACGATATAATTCGTAGTTCTGGTGCAAGGCATAACAACCAGATACATCATAGAGTTGAAAGTTGGAAATACGCCATGTAAGAAGAAACGTTTTTGATGATTTGAAGTGATATTTTCTTCTACTTTTTCGTGTTTATCGAGTAGTTTGTGAACTATTCTCTCTATATGTGGCAAAATATGGTTTGTTTACATTTTGGCTCTTGCGCCCCTTTCAAATGTTAGTCTAGATTTCTTCTTGTGAGAATAAACACGCGACGTAAACTTATAACGAATTAAAACTTTATTGTAACGATTAAAATACAAAGACTTATCGCGTTGATCGCGGTGCGCATCACAAACTTCTGGAATATTCTGACGTTTATGCTGCTCGGCTATCATGCGTCAATGGGTGACAGCTACGACTGCCACCAGTGAGCTCAGCGGCAGTGTTGGTAGGGTCGTTTGGTAGAGATGTCCATTCGCCCCAACAGTTTTGGTTGTTACACAAATTATGTATCTCCTACAACGTTGTGCAGAAAGCAAGAATACACATCTTCGTAGATTATAGTATGTCTCTATCTTGCTTTTTTCAAAAATATTTCGTTGTTTTTTAATAAAAAAATAACCAATTTTTGTCCTATCACTACAAACCAAACAAAAATAAACGAATCCGTGTTTAACGTATTAGATTCAGTGCTAACATTTGAAAACGGCACAAAAGCCATTTGTAAACAAATGGTTTGTGGGCCCTTTACTCGCTACCCGAAGAACGCCCACGCAAACCAACAGCATCGTCAGGAAGGGGAAAATTTCCCCTACCCGATGTTGCTGTTGTGTCGCGTGGGTGTACTTCAAGTAGTGAGTAAAGGGCCCACAAACCATTTGTTTACAAATGGCTTTTGTGCCGTTTTCAAATGTTAGCACTGAGATGCTAGATAATAGTTTCTTTCTGCGAACACTACGTGTTGAAAATAACTGAAAATCTGGGGGGACGTACTGTCAAATCAGCCTACTGATCATTCTTGTATGAAACTGGTTCCAAACGTAAACAAACGGTGTAGGTTTCTTATGGCTTGTTTACGTTTGGAACCAGTTATCCCAGTTATGCGAGGTAGGCGACGACTGTTCGTATTTGACAGCCACCTCCCCCCCTTGCTGAAAATGTCTTGGTATGGAGATGCAAAGAGAAAATCTACGAAGAGAATCTGTCAATGTTATTGCGCATTTAAATGGACAAAAATAGCCGCGGTTTCACTTATTAAAAAGTGTGATAAAAGTGCACGTTTACGCCAAATCGTTTTGTTGTCTACGGAGCACTTATTCCTCATGAAGCATACTTTTTGCATTTTTGAAGCAGTCCAGTTTTCGATGCAACCAACAATACTTAGAACCTAATCCATTGTTCGGGTTGACGGGAACCGCAGAATACTCAATTATTACTATAAAATACGCAATATTAACTCTACCCATTAAATGAGCAAAGTTTTTAACTCACAAATGAATAATTTTTAATCATTTCTGTAGCAACAATTACTCTTTTAACCCGTAAAGTACCAGTACGAGTTTTTTTCTTTCTTCAAAACTCTCGTCCTCAGCAATGTTACAACCAATTTTTATAAACCTGGACTTTTATTAAAGAGGAATATTGGATCTAACTTTTGAGGGAGGCTACGCCCTGCTAGAACCCTACTCACTTGTGAGAGATCCAAATATGTTTTTGTTTTTTTTTTTCATGTAGCATGATTATTTTACCTCGAATATTACTATGTCTGAACTGATTGAACTTCGAATATTATTGTCCCGGAACTGATATCAATGTGGCTGTCTATGTCAAAAGAATCTCCTCGAATAGTCTGCATTTTCCATATCGCATTCGTGCTTGCATGATTTGACTTGCTGTATTGTTATGTTGCTTTAAGTTTTACTTTAGCCTAAAGGAACAGATTATGGGACCGCAGAAATCGATGCCAATATTTCCAAATTTCACCGGATATACCATAAACTGATTTCAATGATCTTCCTTGTCAGTTTGACATGATTTTACATGCAACATGATTATTTTGCCTTGAATATACCCTCCCTTTGGCTAGTTTTTGCACCTTGCTGTTGGCGGGCGGGCTTAATTTCATGCTTTATAGTGGAGTGTTGGAGACGGTAGGTTTATGGCCGGCGTTGCTGGCCCATGCCGCGATAGAATGGCGCCATGGGCAGGCGATGGGGTTTACTTCCTTCCCCTCTCTGATGAACCACTGCATGAGAAAACCAAAGATCTAGTCCAGCAGTGAGAGTATCACACTTGTTACTCCTTTGTTTGAGAGCAGTAGTACGTAGTACTACGCTTACGTATAGGCACCGACGTTGGGTGCGATACTGGCGGGTTTTGCCGCAAATCACTCTTATTTTATTTTTATTTATATACAGGGAATTATACAATTGAAATATTTCAGAAAGTGCCCAACAGTGCACAGTGGTCCAGAATGCAGATTTAGGTGGAATGATATGTTTTGAGTCAGCTGTTGAGAACGAACATTTTGAAAAAAAAAAATCTCGTCCTGGTACTTTACGGGTTAATGTGTAGTCCCTGGGTACTGCGGATTCGATCGATTTTATTTTGCAAGCTAATGGAAAACTGCAAGCGCTATGGAAGGCGATATTCGACAAATCGCCTTTGCGGAATTTTTCTCAATTACCCGTCAGCAACCCTAATAAAAAATAACCATAAACGAACGATAACCCAAATCATTGAACTATTCCACAAATGGTTTGGATGATACCCAGAACACGTCGTTAAGCAAATTAACCATACAATTTTTATTAGGGAAGTCCTCGCCAACTGGCAACATAAATGGACTCTCATTCCTTTGGGAAGATGGTTACATTGTATTCTCCAACAGGTGTCGAACAAGCCGTGGTTCAAAGGGTTGGACATGAGCCGTGACTTTATATGTGTCATATCGAGGCTCATGTCCAACCACTGCTCGTTAGTCTCGAATCGGGCTCACAGGCAGCAATTTGTGCGCTTGTGGTGGTGGTTATCACGAGATCGAACACGTGATTTGGTCTGCACCCTCCATTGTGTTGCTCGATCCGAGTTATCCACACCCCTCAGGGCCCGAGGAAAACAACCTATGCGGCCGTTAGAGACATCTTGGTGAGCCGAGATCTCGACTATTGGAATTTAATTTATATGTTTTTAAAACAGATAGATCTGAGGATTTAGTAGTTAGTGTCATCTTGTGTTCTCCCAAGTTGTAAACTTCCCATCGGTGTACCCCTATGTCTGTCTTTTTCATCAGTATGTCGCTTAGTTCGATACCAAGAGCACATTACTCTCCAAACCATGTGTTCTCAATCCCTACCCTGCCATCCATTTGATACAATATATTACCCTAACCTCGAGATAGCCGCGAGTAATCGGCCTTCACTTTACCAACGTTAGTTTCATTCAAGTAATTTTGTAATCCAAACAATGAATATCGGCTCCGCAAAGTTACGGCAAATGAGCCTGGAAACATTAACGCATTATAAAAAAATGGTAAACTGCTTGAAATTTTGTTCAAGTTTAAACTGTTTTGCTCTTTCTCAGTTGATTCCCGCCAAAAGCTCTGAGTCAGGAGTGCTCGAACCCCCATGACTCCATCAAAGTTTGTTTGAATACATGTTTCACCAAAGTATGTTTTATTGCATTTGAAAACTCAGGTTACAACAAGATATTGATGTATTTTGCATTTGAGACTGGTCTCCTAAAAAGCGCGGAATCGTTAATAAGAGTGGGCTTTTACGTTGTTGTATCGTCTTCGTGTCTTCGGCGCATTTTTTTTCCTTATGAATCAAGTGCCGAGATCACTGCGCCGAAAACACCAAAATTATTTAGCATAAAGACGCACTTACACCAAATTTCTTAAATCTTGTTCGGTATTGTTTTTTTCTGCTGGTTTCGTTCTGTTTAATATATTTCTTACCGAAAGCTTTGCAAAACATATTGTTGCATTAATTTTAAGTAATTTATAGAAATTTACCGAAATTACTGATCGAACTGTACAGCAGTAAAGACCAGATGTTTGAAAAAAATACTGAATAGATTTGTGAACTTCATACTGTGAATTTGAACCTTTGCTGTCATTTCGCAGTTGAGTGTCGGTTCTTGGTTGTGTATGTAATACCTTATTATAGATATTTTTAGTCGTACAGACGCCATGTCCTCCTCAACCGCAAAAAACGAATTTGCGCGCGGTTTGCTATACTGGGTCGATAGCTGATTATTATAAACCAGTGGAAACTAACGATTTAAAATTGGCTCACCACTTAAATAGCCTATTGGTCACAAGCAAATCGATTAACGTACCACATTCTAGTCAAAATTCTGGTACGACACTATTAGCGAATTCGTTTATTATTCAGTTCCAACCTGGATCGGGTATCAGGATTGGGTCTGCTTGTTTTCTGACAAACGTCAGTTTGCTCGTTTGTTTTTAAAACCTAGCTCAGGTTGAGGTTCGCACTGACAAAAAGTTCGGTTTCGCACTGGGTTGGAACTGGTTCCAACCCCGATAATAAACGAATTCGCTATATGTTTGTTTTGTTTCGCTATGAAAGTTTGACAGATAAAATGAGAGGTTCGTGGATTTTCACATATTTCGAGGGGTGCATCAATTACAGGGTTGTTACGCGGATTTGGTGCGGATTTGCTTATCAGATTTGTTCTGGCGCGGATTTGCTTGTTATGGCGCGGATTAGTTCAATAAAGTTTGAATTTTGTATTAATTTTTTTCTATTTATAAGTCTTCATTTGATTAACATACTAATATACCAACAATTAGTTAAACATAATCATATTCAAAGAATGAGTAAACGTTTATTTTCATTATTCTCAGTGCCAGGGCAGTTAAATAGTTCCACCACTTCAAAAGCGACAAAGCAGCTTGCTTTTTAAGCTCTGACTGATGTTGAGTTGGTAACTTAGTACATCAAGTTGATATTACTGCTACCGGATATCAAAAAGCAGGTTCTTTTTGTTATAGGATCAGCAGAAAAGACGAATTTGCTGAAGTTTCTTGAGTCGAATGAGTTTATTCTTTTCGACATATATGATAGGATTCATTCATTTTTGGTCACTATGATGTCAAGAAATCGTCCGTTTAGTCAAAAATAATTGATTTCAAATTAGGCAAATCTAAGATACACGAATAACTCGTACATGCAAGTGTGAAATTGGCAGGTCAAACGTTTGATTCAGATTGTGATTTGGAAATTCTGGATCCTCTATTTTGATATGGAAGTTTCTCAGAACTCAGAATATTGTTTAACATTGTAACATGCGTATCGCATTCCAATTCAGAAGTAGAAAGGAAGTTTTTACTATCCAAGCATTTGCTGCCAGAGAACCGAACAAGGCTTAGTGAACAGCATTTCAATAGCCGTAAAAATATTTTGAGTGGCATGCATTTTTTGATAATGATGTAAACAATTTTGTTGTTTCGAAGGACTTAATTTTGAATGCCAAGTTCGCGAGGAAATCTTACGAAACTAAATGAAGGTATTATAAGTAGGACAGATTGAAAACTAAAAATATTATATATAAGCCATCCGACACTAAACAGGAACAAAAGAAAGAAGGTGAATTAATGGGAGCTCAGAAAAAGAAAGGAAGTTAGTCAGACACCACATTAAAAGACAAGAAGAAGAGATCGGAAAGAAAAGAAAAGCAAAAGAAGATATTTTTAATTTGATAGAAAAAGAAATCAGAACAATGACATCCAATAATCCAGAAACATCATTCCTAACAGTTCTTTTGAAGCAAAAGATAACATTGAGCAGGAGGAAAAATCAGAAAGGGAAAAATTTGCTAAAATGAATGCTAATGAAGATTATTAGTGTTTTGATGCATACATTCAATAAAATAAGTGCTTGTTATATCATTGACAAAAAATTAACGTTTATCGCTGACAGAAGTCTCCATTACTTTATTTGTTGTCCTCTGCAATCCTATATCTTAGGTTATTTCTTGTTTTCATTTGAACCTTAATCAATATAAATTATCTGGTGTATGATTTTTTCAGGAAAATAAAGTAAAATATATAGTCCAGGTCAGTAAATTTTGACAACTCACAAGGGAAGATAATTTACTGAAATAGGGGAATTTACGTATTCTCGGCAACCTAAGCAGCGACCTTCTTTCTAAAGCCTTTTTCTCTATGGAACGCACACATATGCAGTATTGGTTTGTTTACAATCTTTTGCTGCCAGCTGCTCTAAAAATTTCAGTCGAAAGAATTGTCAAAAACTGTTTTGAAGCGCTTTTACAAAGCTTCAATCTTCTCTAGTGAGAGCGAGTATTGTCGGCAACCAGTTTTTCTTCGGCAACCGTTCCATTTGAACTGCATGTAAATCTGCTGTTCTATTATCGGCAACTCGAAATCAGCTACAATTTGTAGTGCGTGTGTTGCATTTCAAGAAAACCTTGCTAGATTGCTTTTTCTCAGTGGTAAAAATATAGTCAAATTGAAGCTGAAAGCATAAATAATCGTTTGCATTCAGCGAAGTGTTTTCGTAAGAAAATCCAGTGAAAATAGTGTTTCAATTTGGGTTGCCGAAAATAGTCTGTCATGCCGAATCCGTCATTTCCCCTATAATACTTTAATTAAAAAAAATTACCCAATGTTTCGTATTCGGTAAAAAAATTACAGAAAACTGTAAAAAAAATCTTAGTGTGCTAATCGCATTTATAATGTGCGTAATGCGCAATAAACACAGCATGCATGTTAGACCTTTTGATCCTGTTTGAATTTATATTATCGTAGGTAGGATATTGCTATCTGGCAACACTGCTTCCGAGGTGCTCTTTGTACACAACACTGTTTGCAGCGTGTGAGCGAGAATGTGAAAATTCGTGACTTTGAGAATCATTCAAAACAGAAAGAAAAGAAAATAGCGCAGCATAACGAAAAGCCGAATAAACAAAATAATAATCTACGACGGTAGTGGTGTTCTAATAGCAGGCGATTTTGTCATTACTTTCAGTGTGATCATTACGAGGGAAAAGTGCGATCTCAAGTGAAGTTTCCATCCACTGCGTGACTCCAGTTCCATCGTAGTCATTTTCGAATAATATCGCATCTCCGCGAATACCGTGTGTCGTGTGCGCGCATTATTTGTGTTGGTTCCGCGGCCGGATAGCATCACCTACGGATTTGTGAAGCGTCGTGTGTATTGGTGCAGGAATGGCACAGCAACATAAGCTGCATTTTCGGGACCAGCACCAGCAACCACCACTCGTGGCCGGAGGAACGACTGGAACTAGCAGCACATTTACGGCAACAGGAGGAACTGGTCACGGCAGCAGTGAAAAACGCAAGCATCGCGTGTTAGAGTGTGATAGTGATGAAGACGATTTTGCTGGATTCGACGAGGACGCCACCCGTAGTGAGAACGGTAATCGATTTCGTTTTACTGTACATTACATTCCTTCTGTTTTCCGCCTCCTACTTGGTGCTCTTTTAGCTCGCGCTTCCATTTTTATTTTAGCTCCCGTGTCAGATTCCGATCCGATAGTCTCGAGTTTTTCAAAAAATGTCACTCAGTTGACAAACGACCGAATGTGGTGTACCGATAATTATGTAATTTTTTTGTTTTCGTTTTTTCACGCCCCGTCGTCATTCGGAAATTCATCGGATTGTCGCTGAAAATTACTACCAAAACAGGAGCTTTAGGTTCGCCCAGATTGTCGAATTCGATTTCCGCTTTTGTAAACCTAAAGAAGGCTCGAGAATTTAAATCAACTCTTTTATCATCATCGCCATCGACGGGAGGACTTCCGGCAAGCGGATCTGATGCTTCGGCAGTAGAAACTTTGGGGGGTGTCGCAGAAAAACAGGTATCCATTTTATTTCTGGCTTCGTTGGCAGTTTTCTGTGTGTCTTGTCAAAGAAGGCAGAATTGAAGGGAAAAGATGATAACACTCCGCACTTCTTTTCTTTTTCTGTTTTCTCATATTGTTATTGAACGGACTCATTCATTCACCATGCATCGATGTGGCGCTTATGGATGTAGGACGAAATGGAGTCTCTGGTTGAACTAGAAGCATCAACGGGAGGAGGTGGATCTGGCATTTTTGAACCGAGCGGTAAAGCTGCGATGCTAATGGCGTCCAGTCAGGCCAAGCGAAAAGTGACCGCACCCGTCAATGCTCAGGACGAAGCTTTTAAGTTGCCGTTCAAGTTCGGCTGGAAGCGGGAATTGGTGAGTTAGAGAAGTGGTTGATTTGTGGGATCCTTTTCTGTTTTTTAAGGATACCAGATAGTAGTGGGGAGTCTGTTCGATGTCTGATGGGGTGTTCTCATATTACGCATTTTTTTTTAGGTATACCGTGCTAATATGGACGGTAATAGCAAGGACAAAGGCGAGGTATATTACATTACTCCAACGGGGAAAAAACTACGCACGCGAAATGATATTGTTATGGCCCTACACGAGGGACTAACAATGGACAATTTTACGTTCATGAAAGAATCTGTTGGTGGTTCTCCAGATGAAGAGATTATTAGGTTAGCCTTGGTAGAAAAGCTTCGTGGATGTTGTTTTAATAAATTCCCTTCCCATAGGAGTGCTAAATCGTATGGTAGTACGCCACGACGTTCAATTAATTCGGTGCCAGTGGCGGAATTAGTTTCGGATAATAATCTAGGCAAACGCATTCCGAAACCAAAAATGCCAAAAGGAGCTAGCCCGCCTCCTACTTCTACGTCGCGTACATCGCTCGGTCAGTCCCGCACCCCACCTTCTTCTCGTTCAAATTCCCAAACCTCACCCAAATCTGGGGCATCCGTCGGGGGTCATCGTGGCACCACAACCACTACAGTCGGTCAAAAACCGAACGAAAATACTTTCAATGCAGCCAAGTCAGCAAAGCTGAAAAACAAGTAAGTAATGTTTTCTATATCTGATACATGCTTTCGATGAAAACTTCCCATCCAACCTCTTCCTATGCATTCCTGGTATCATTCATTTCACTATAATCCAGCATTTTCAAACCCTTTTCACCCTAATATGAACAATACTTATTTGGGATCTGCTGAATGATGTCATCATCTTCGCCCAGAGTCGAAACATGTACCATCCAGTGTCTACCGGCAATGGGGATGATTCCTCAACTTCAATGCGTCTCTTGCCTGTGTATGTACCATCCGGAGTGTGTTGAAGCAACTACAGCCGAAATTCTGGCTCGAAGATTTACCTGTAAGGTGAGAAACCCCTCTCAATGCACTCTACCGTGAAAGGTGGTGACTTTTCTCTGTTGTATCTCACTTTTTAAGATTTGCATGGATGAACAATCAACTGTCTCGGATCTCGAAAGCATGGCGACGTTTGAAAGACCCGTGATAAATTCTATCACTGCAATCCAACCATTAGCAGCTCAATCGTTGAACAATGGCAATGCAACTGCTACAACCGTCCCTGTAGTTGATAAACAAAAGAAACCCACTCCACCTCAGCAGCCACCCAAAACCGGTCCAGGTACACCTAAAAGCAGTGGAAAAGAACCTCCTCCCCAGGATGTGATTGTTGTAGGAAACCATCAGTTCATTGTTGTTCCGAAAGGCAAACCAGCTCCACCGAAGAATAAAAAGCTATCTAAACAACCACTACCACAACAGCAGCCACCGGTACAGCAGCAATCGTTAGTGCAAGCTCCGATGCAGCCAACAGTGTAAGTAGCAACGGACTTGGTTGGCTTATCAACACACCTGAGCACATTCCATCTTATAGTTTTTCCTCAGTTACTACTCTACGTTGGACAGCAACATCCTACGACCATCCGCAAATGTGCGGTTTTTATTTTCTTTTGTTTCAGGGTTGAATCCCACATCCACAGATCCCAAAATGGTTGTTCTAAATTATTACCTTCTATTCCTTCTTCATCCTCCATCCATACTAGACATTTCTCCAACAAACATACCGTTTAAGCAATCTGAATTACATTGTATCTTCCACCTTGCAGATCCGACGACAGCCGGAAAGCTGTAGGTAATGCAAAACAAGTCGCCGCCAACAATCAGGCCAATAGTCGAAGCTTCATTGCAGCGGACTTGGCTGCCATCAGCCAGAACAACAGTACACGGACTTCCTCGCTTGCTGCTGGAGTCGAACAAAATAGGTTGTTTGCGTCGAATTTCTTCTCCAACGTATCAATTGGTTATGATGTACTGCAGCAAACGTTTCAATATCTTAAAGTACAGGTAAGGAATAGTGTATTTTCTTGCAATTATTACAGAGTTAGTCCAGTCTTCCACTGATGCAATGTTAAAAGCTAAAAACTTCATATGAAGACATACTCACCGCGAATAGCGTATGGAAAAGTCGTTTCGATCGTCGTACATAATGTGGCGTATTTTTACATACAATTCCGCATCATTTTTTTTTTTGCATGGAAATCGTGTGGTTGTTTAGCCATCTGAGAAATCCTAACGATCTAATACAAAACACCTACTTTCGGTCCCGCATAGCCTCAGATAACCTATTCTGTCTCCAAGGCACGATATTAACAAGCCGGAAACGGAGGGTTCAGTTCCCTGTTTGGTGTAGAAAATCTTTCGGGTTGGATTTTTTTTCGACTTCCCAGGGCATAGAGTATCATTGTGCTTGCCACACAACATACGAATTCATGCATTGATTGCCATAGAAAGCCTGAATTGCATTGAGACCGTAACCGCCTGCATTGTTTCAAATCAATTGGAGGTGGTGTCTTGATTGCGGTATCCAAATAAGTTAAATGAAATAACTAAGCTATTGTCTCGATTCTGCTGCGGCCGGCACTTCTCGTGAGCAGTTGTAGATCAAGATTACGACATCACACAGAGCTAGAAGAATCGGCGCTATTTTCGTAAATCTGATTTGAACTGCGTTAAGAACCATATCAGTTTGATTGGTGCTGTACATATTGTTTCGATTAGATCACAATGCTCTGCTATTTTATAACTACAACCAGTCTAGGCTGAAATTGAATATTTCCGCGAATTATCATCCAAGCATTGCGTTTTGCTCCGCTTTTCTGGATTGTTTCATTCTGCATGGTTTCACGCAAATCAACTCCCGTACTGCTAGATACAGTAACTTCCCTGTGCGGTATAACTATCCCATTAGCATTTTTGGCGAAAATGAGAATTGGAATTTCCAATGGAATCGACTGTAAAGTATCATCGCTTAACAGTTTACACGAAAAGCTTTGTTAAGAAAATGTCGCGATCTATACCAAAACTATGTTGCCCTTTCCATAAGAGCCCATAGAGAAAACAATGTTCAACAGAGTTTTTCTCAGCGTGCTCTTATAACGAATGGGACAATTATGCTTATTTTGAAAAGAGCAGTGAATAACGTGTGTTCACTATTTGGCAACCAGCCACGCAAGTTAAAACCTCCGTTACGATGCACCAGGAGAACCCCTGTCGCATTTTGCTCAACTTCTTCTTCGCTCTTGATGCTCTCAATGCAATGACAGTTGATTATACTGTTCGATACCTCCGGATATTGCTCCGAGTCATCCTTCGCTTTCAGATTTTTTTTACAAAGAGTAGAGTGAGCCGCAGCTTATCCAGGGCTGTTACAACAGGCGCGGATATCGCGAATTTCGCGGATTTCGCGATTTTCGCGGATTTGTCGCGGATTTGAAGTTTCAGTCGCGAAAATCGCGGAAACATTAAATGATGTCGCGAAAATAGCGAATTGAATTATGTACTGTCACACAAATTGTGGAATTCATTGTAACCTTTCCGTCCCGTATTATTTAGCTGTCATAAATTTTGTTGTTCATTTGGCTTTCAATTTTTTACCGGTTCAAACTAAACACCCTGCAAATAATCTAGAAATGATCTTAATTCCATAAGTCATACCGGATTTACACGGAAATTCCCTGAGGTTTGTCATTATCATGTTTTTTTTTTATTTCCAATATGAACATAGCATTTTTCGTTGTCAAATCATAAACGAATCGTATATATGCGAGTAATTGCCATGTGTACCGGATATTCTAGATTCTCCAAACCGTCCTGGAGTTCAGTTGATTTGTTCTACTATATCAACCAAGACTGCAATAATGTCTGTAGTATCGAAATATGTCCAAATAGATTCAAAGTGTCTATGTGGATTGTACCCGACCTATTGCTACGTATACAAGATGTTATAGGTTCTGAAATCATTCTGGAGATCAGATTATTTTTCTACTTGATCACCCAAGACTAATTCAATATATGTAGTATCGAAATATGCCCAAACAAATTTGCAGTGTCTATGTGGATCATGCCAACCTATTTCCGTGTATGCCAAATGTTCTAGGATGTCCAATTCGATATTTCGATACTACAGATATTATCCTAGTTTTTGTTGATCTAGTAAAACAAATCATCTGAAGTGCAGGACGATTTGGCGAACCTAGTCATCTGGTATACGTGAAAATAATTAAACATCATCCATATAGAGACTATGAATCCTAACAATATTTCGATACTACAGACTTTATCCCAGTCATGGTTGACCTAGTAGAATAAATCATCTGAACTTCAGAACAATTTGGAGAACTTAAAACATCTGGTATACATGGCAATAGTTCATGCATGATCCACATAGACACTGTGCATTTGTCTGGAAATATTTCGATACTAAAGACATTGTCCCAATCTCGGTTGATCTAGTAGATCAAATTATCTGAACTCCAGGACGATTTGAAGAACCTACAACATCTGGATTACTCGGAAATAGATTATGTATGATCCACATAGACACTTTGAATCTGACTGGAAATTTTTTGATACTACAGACATTATTGTAGTCTTGGTTGATTTAGTAGAACAAATCAAATGATGTCCTGGACGATTTGGAAAACCTATAATTTCCGGTATACATTGTAATAAGTCGTTCATGATCCACACAGTCACATGAATACGATTCGGCAGACCCCAAGGAATATCCGTGTAGATACAGAACCGCGACGTGACCAATAAGTGTGACTTATGAAACTCTGGCAATTTCTCGATTATGTGCAGGGTGTTTGGTTTGAATCGGTCAAAAATTGAGAAAACTAGAGCCAAATTAACTACAACCTTTAGGACACCAAAATACGTCAGAGACGCAAAGGTTAACTTTCAAGAAAATTTGCATTTCAAATGAAAATACATAAATTTTTTAAATAATGTTTCATCAAATCTAGGCCGGTATTATGCAATAGAATCTCATAATGTAAGGGTGTTACATAATTACTCAGAATTTATACTATACATAAATATTTTTTTTTAAGTTTACAAACGATACTCCTTTAGCTCAGTTGGTAAAAACGCAGCTACAAAGCAGGTCCATGCTGGAGGCGACTGAGTTCGATTCCCGTCCGGTCTATTAATTTTTGGGGTTGGAAAATTGAGGATAGGATGGTACAGGTATAGAAAGCTCTCAATTAAAATGTGAAAGTTGAAGTACTAAGTTGAGAGAAGGCAAAAATCTAATATGCTATAAGCAATAAGCTTGAAATACCATGTAGTATTATACAAATGGTATTTTTAGGCAATGAAAACAGTTTTTTTTTTGTCGCGGATTAGTATTTGAAGTCGCGGATTTATTTTGAGGAATCGCGGATTTCGCGGATCGATTTTAGAAAATCTTGTAACAGCCCTGCTTATCAATCCCAATCCAGACTTGAGACTAACATTTCCTGTCGAGTTGGAGACAGAGGAGTTGTGGACTCACTTACCTTACCAATCAAGCTTAGGTCCGGGTGTACTTTGATGTACACAGAAATCGTCTCCCTTCCATTCGATCCATGGTTGCTCGTCGTCAGCTTCGCAGCTTCCACCTGGTCGATCCACCTTGCCCCTGCGCGCTTCTTCGTATCGTTCCAGTCGGTTCATTATCGAGAATCATTTTCACCGGGCTTTCATTCGACATTCTTACGACTTGCCCAGACCACCGTAGTCGCCCGATTTTTGCGGTGTGGACGATGGGAGCTTCTCCCAGCAATTGCTGCAATTCGTGATTCATTCGTCTCTTCCACGTTCCGTCTTCCAACTGCACTCCACAGAACAACACATTCTAATGCGATATTAAACAGCAGACACGAAATCCCATCATATTACAGTTACAGTAACCCTCTTCGAGATTCGAAGGTGTTCTTAAGGAACCTCGGCAACGCACATCACTCGATTCATCGTCGCCTAGATCAATCGCAATCAAGTTATTTTCGCGGCATTTCTGCAAAACTTCCCGAATCACGAAAATCTGGTCCGTGGTCGCGCGGGTATCCACGAATGACGCCTGGTATTGCCCCACGAACTGTTGCAATCGGTGGTAGGCGGCGGCATGGTACACTCAGGTCTTTTTTTACACGGGGGATACGTACCGTGTAAAAAAAAAACCTACGAGATTTTGATTTTTCACATGTTTAAATGTTTTTAAAAAATCAGATTAGATTAGAGTTGGAGAATGCTTTTAAATCTCAATCGAATTTGTGATGTTAATTGGAGTGTCATTGCGCAGTAATTGCAGCAATCCAACTTGTCGTCCTTTCTGTAGATTGGACACACGATATGCCTCCCCTTAATACAGTTTTAAAAATCTAATATTTATATGTTCTGCATTTAATCTACTAATGCCAACGAATAAATTACTGAGACCTCCTCCCTCCCAGTGGTGGCACGAGTCCTGGAGTTTAACATTTTTTCCTTAACATTTGATACATTTTGCGATAACCATTGTGACGACACACAAAAACAAACTGGCAAGCAGCAAAAATGTCATGACATTTCTAAACTGTTTTCTGCCAGCGACAGAACATTTTCGCACAAAGAAGCAGACAAGACCGGCGGCGCGCGCGACATAATTTTATGTTGTGTAGAATTTTGCTGATTTCTGGCTAATTACTGCATTTATTTGATGTTTATTGCATGGAATTAAAAGATAAGAATGAAGACTGACCACTCATAAGCATTGATGTTAAAATTATGCGTAAATAAGGGAGTTGGTAATTTACTGTCACACGCAAGCCTGCAGCTAAAATTTCATTACAATAAACTGTTTGGAAAAATCAGGCTGCGAGATTTTATTTATTCTCTATCTCCGCTGTTTGCTTGGAATGTAGTTATACACGGTCGCCCGTGTGCTGGCTGTTTTGTTTCGCTCTGGACGATGGTTTTTCAAAAAATGTACTGTTGCCACCTCTGCTCCCTCCCATATAAGAAAATGTATGCAAATTCAATACACCCCTCCCCTTCAATGTTTATGTAATTATTGAATAGTCCCTAAATGACAAAATAATGATGTTTTGGTTAAAACAAACTTAATCCAAACGGCTTTATTCAGTAGTTAGACTTAAGTAGTAGGATTAATATTATAAATTTTCATCTTATTCCCATTTGCAGGAACTGCTGCGTGCGAGTTGTGTTTGTCGAATGTGGAACCAAGTTGCGAATCATCCGCGGTTGTGGAGGACTGTTCGCATGAAGAATTCGCATGTCAACGATTGGAGTGGTCTCGCCAACACCTTGCACAAGAACGGCACCAAGCATTTAGATCTGCGGAAAATGTTAATCTCCGGGAATAGTGACGAAATGTGGCACAGGTTTGCAGAAAACATCTCCCATGTCGATAACCTTGAAAGAATTGATCTATGTCGCTGTTCTTCGACGGTGGTTGGCAATTTGTTAAAGTCGAATCCTAATCTCAAGGTTATCAATGCCCTCGCGATCAAGAATGATCCTCTAGACTTTTCAAACTTTCAATACGGCAAGTACCTTCAAGAGCTGAGGCTTAAATCATCCGCTGCAGTGTCAGTGGATAATGATCTCTCGCAACTTGGCTTCCTTACATGTCTTCGACATCTCTCATTGACTTCAATTCAGAGACTGGGATCAACCTCAATCAAGGCACTGGAGAATTTGGTAAACCTAGAGTCACTCGAATTGGGAGAATGTACCGAAATTGGTCATAATCTTGCTGAAATCCTTCCTAGTATGATTAATCTGCAACGATTGCGACTGGAAAAGGGTCAGGAAAATGTCAACATGTTCGCAGTTTTGGAAGGTATATCAAAAATTCCAAGTCTAAGTCAGCTTGAACTTATCAATTGCGATGTGAAAGTTGGATTCGACAAACACATAAATAAGTGCAACAACATCAAGAAGCTGCTCCTGATTCCGACGTACGTTTCTCAATCTGCAGCTACGAATCATATGGTACTTAGCGGAATAGCAAAGCTGAAGGACACTCTCGAGATTTTCATTTGGCCTGTAACGGTTGAACTACTGCGGGTGACGGAGTTGTACATAGATCAGTGTGATACGAAAAATCGAGATGATAAAAACAGTCCCGGTGAAAGCATACCAATACTGAAACCGGTGCCTGGAGTAGATGAAGTACCGATCGCCAACAGCTCAAACACGCCCGACACTCCGGCGCAGGTCGAAATCGTTCCCCTTACTACAGTCAACAGCATTCTTGACCGATCACTCCCCAAGACCAAGCTGAAGATACTGAAAATTCCGTTTGCCAGCACCTGGAAACAAGGCATGATTGAACTACCGTAGAATCGGTGATTTTGACTCTAAATCCGGTGTGGAGATCAAACTAGGAAGTCCATCATTTTAAATGTAAAACGTAGAGGTAATTTATTCGTATTAGTTCTATGTGTATCATGTAGTTTCATCTAGTGTTGTAAGATGATAACATGCAGCAGACACGAGAGAAAGAGTTACTGCTGCTTTCCTCGCACTGTACATAAAATCACATTGTCTGTAACAACTGTCCGATGTGCGTCGAGGAAACGTTTGAAATATTAGTGTCCGCCGTTTTACGCGGCTATTTTTCAATTCAAACGAATATTGGACAAACTTGAATACCTATCTATTCAGAATTCAGGCTGTCAAAAATGGTAGGATGTTGATTGATTTAATTTTTTTATTAAAAAATGTTGCAACTCGAAAAATAATTCGTTTTTTTTCGATTTTGATTGTGTCTGAAAAAATTGGCTTTATGAATAATTATTTTTGATGTATAAAATTCAACATAGATTTAGAAAACTTGCTTTCCCATCACGCGTATCTGCTTTAGATTAACTAAGTTAATAGATAAAGAGAATAAACATAATGCTATGTTTAGATATTGTGTAAACTAAGATTTATCTATCCGAAATTCCTACGACTTGAATGTCGATTCACCCTAGCCTTGATTATTCGTAAAAACACATCAATTTCCATCGCTTAAAAGTTATTGAATGTTTTATTTTTATATATGGGAAATGGCTGAAATGTTGGCCTATGGATCTAAGATTGGGCCCATCGCTGTTGCTATTGAAAATTTAGTCGATTGCTGAATTTATGTATGGGCCCAAATTAGGGACACTTAGCCCGACATTACATACATTTCCCCTACTTGATTTATTTTTTATTTGTTTGTGAAAATCAACAGGCTGAATGTATCCCCAATGCTGGTTTGAAAAGCAAACTGGGCTGTATTGAACCTGTTGATATTGACAAACAAATAGATAAATGAACGTACCAACTGGACCATCTTGTCCCACCTTACCCTACCTGTTATCAGAAAAAAATGGGTACTTTGTACTGCCTTCTAGAGAATTTGCCGCCAATAGAGTAAGGCGAATATCTTATATTATATTAATAATATAATGCAAAAATCGCTTATAATTAAAAGAATCACAAATCACTACATAACTATTATACCATGTAATCTTTGATTAAATAATCCTGAATAAGATCAATGTGAGCCTGAATGGGCGCCAGTCGAGGTATAATCACTTGGGGGACGTTCGGAATATAATATAGAACAACATGAATTAGCTCGGGTTTCGATTCTAGAGTCGTTTTTTTTTCAAGATTGAACATATCACGAGCGCGTGTTGCATTGTATATTTTGATAATATGTATTGGGTCGACAAAAGGAAAGCTATGCTTTAGAAAAAAATCGATACACACTGTACTCATTATAGAAACGCCTTGTCCATTTGTTTTAACCGTAGACATCGGTTTTTAACTAATTTTGAAAATCACATTCTCTTCCTAATGCAATTTGTCCTGAACGGCCAGGTCTATCTCGAAATGGGGATCCCCGGAGTGTCCATTATGTTTAATAGTATTAAGATATTCTACATATTCAATTGGTAACCCGGTTTCTGTTGCTCCTCGAATTATGATATTCATATAGGTTTGCGACGGCTGCCGCTCAAATGGTCGGGTTTCTTCAATACTTTCTAGTTTTGGTGGATTTTTTACAAGCTGATAAACGCGACACTGAAGCGTTTCTCCCTTTGTGGTGCATATAGGCAACGTCAATGGCTTGTACACTTGATTATGAACACCTTCCTGCTTGTCTAGATCGGGAAGATTTTCAATACCGATTTCCCAGATTGCTCCCCACACTCGATGGCCTTTGTCTTCTACGATAGTTGCTGGTGCGCCACGCCATCGTGCAGCGTAGTGGAAAAAATCTAATCTATAGTTCTGAAGAATGATCATTCATTTTCATTACCTTTAAAACTCAAAATATACATGGATATTACCTCTAAAAATCCTATTCCTTTTCTGACTGCAGTAGGGCTTTCCATGCGGATTCTTTTCGAGAAAAGATTGCTCCCGAAAGCAAAATAATTGAAAGTACTTGAAGTTGCCTCTGTTAGCACCATTTTCGCAGCAGCTGTAATCCCCACTGAGTAGATGATGATGGTGAATTTTATATCAGGACTAGCATCTCTCTATCTATATAGTCAACGGACGATGTTGTTTAACATGCACACATACTAGTAAACCTTTATTTGGAAATAGTAAACATCGCGTTTCAGCCAGACGATAAGTTCGCAATGTGATTTGTCTTCATTGCCAGAAGCAACGTCATTATAATTATATATTTATAAATTTCCTAAAAGTCAAAATGAAACTCGAAAATGCCTAAACATAGCATGTCATATAGAAACCCGTATAACATATCCCTTAAATAAACCTACGGTAACAAATTCATAGTTAGCACTTATAGCGATTTATCAACAACAGCTATCATGCTATCAGCTACCCGTGTCATGTGTAAAGAAAGCATTATAATGCGCATATTAGTATTCGTGCACATTTACGAGTGCATCGATAAATTAGATTTCACACGCCAATGAAAATTTGACAGGAATGAGGACCTTGTTGACTGAAAATAAATTAATAGCTTTATTCAATGAGAGGTCGAAACTGATAGCAACTAAAGCCCTACAGTAACTAGAGCAGCTGGGTGGCATCCCTATCTTGTTTGCCTTGCCTTGAAAAGAGCTAACATCGCTGTGGGCCCGCGAATTGTGGGCCCCACTGACAGCTCATAATTTGTAAACAAATAGAAGATTCAAGCCAAAATTTCAAAAAAGGCGTGACTGATATTATGGATATTCTTAATATTTTTGCTTACATTTTGTGAAAAATAAACTTAGGACTCATAAAATATTATTTTCTGATTTTCTACCACGAAGTCAACAATTTATATGGCATAAAAGGGAAAATAATTTCATTTTATAAAAATAAGACAATTCAGTCACGCCATTTTAGCAGTTCACACTGGAATTGTGACGTTTCAGATGTTGGTTTCAATAACATGGCGGCATGTCACCAGCTGAACTAGAGGGCTTTAATCGCAACCACCAATTGGCATTCCTTACGCAAAGCGAACGATCCGTAAAGGAGATGCGTGGATTGGCGTTGACGGGACCGTCGAAAAATGGTCTCTTCTAGAAAAGATTGTCAGTTTCATATGGGATTTTTCGGTGGAGTGAAAGGATAGTACGAAGTCCGCCATGTTTCACGCACAGTCTGACGTTTGCTTATGGATTTTACCATAGGAGTAAAGAGCTACAGAGTCGTCGTCAACGCCAATGGTATACCATGAAATCTCGCGTAACAATTGAAAGGGGCCTATCAGTTTTTGTAAATAAAACATGTAAGGTCATTTTCGCTCGAACCGAAGTTCGCCCAAGCAAACCAAGAACACTATCGGAAAGGGGAGAATTTCCCATAGGCATCCCATATTTTGCACCATTTGAAACAATAAAATGCACCCTAAAAAATCAATAACTGTCCCATAAAAAACCGACAGATGTGCCAATATTTAAGTTGAAATGCATAATAAAAAATGTGGAGGCACAATGAATAATTTAAATTGCACCAGTAAAATAAAAATATTCTCCATAAAAATAAAACAAGGGAAACGCTCAATAAGAAAGACAAACCGCGATAAACTGTGTCCAAAAAAATACTCCCTGAGCATTGGCATAGCCTCGAGGATTGCTTAACTGCCGGAGAACTTTGAGATTTGGGCGTAATTGCTGTTGTAAACAAACACGTCAATCGCCGATTTCTAGTGAGTAAAAGCTCAATCTCGCGCACAAACTATACCAAATGATAAAGGAATCATACATATACCTGATTGTGATATTAGTTTTTGAGATTGTGATCATTTGAGATCGCTAGAAATAGGCGATTGACGAGTTTTTTACAAAACGAATTACGCCCTAATCTCGAAGTTCTTTTCTTCTTCTTCTTTCCTTTATTTAACGTCGGTCTCTGTTCCGCAATCTAGTCCCAATCACCGACGGACATCGATTGCCATCCATTGACGGCAATCGAATGTGCAGGAAGGCAGCTTCCACACCTGCGTAGGATATCGCACCCATTCAACACAAATGGGCCGGGACCAACGGCTTTACTTCCCTTCCGAAGGAAGACGTGACTAGAGATTTTTGTGCCTCAGAAAAATCCCACCGACCTCGGCTGGGATTGAACCCAGACCCACTAAGGTGTTTGAAAGCAGTCACGCTTACCACTACACCACCGGCGCCGGCTCTCCGAAGTTCTCTGCCATCATCCACCAGATGGGATAGTATTTTTGTTTTGGTTTTGCACAAAGTTGATTTTGTGTACAATGATTCTTTGACAGTGTGCAAAGAGTGTATCATTTTGTCATTTTTTTATGCATTTCAGTTTTGAGTAGAGTGAAAGAGATAGAACCAAAACATTCTAGTACATTTCGACAGTGAGCATGCATAAGGGCCTATACGCGATGATCGATTTTCTCATTTGTTAATAACAGGGGCCTGGCTGGCAGCCATGTTTTTGATGTTATCATCTGCTCTTGTCTTCCAGCTTATAACACGCTTTTCTGTCCCTTTCTGCCATGTATACGTCAGGCGGGCCGTATTTAAATAAGGCCCGTGATGTTGCCTACTGTCAAACGTATAGGATTGATATAGGGTTGCCAGCCCCCTGGTTAATAACTCGCTAGATTTAAAGTTTTCGGTGCGTTTGGTGTTGCTTTTGATAGCCAATACAACCTGTTACTACTCTGCATTGAACAAATTATAGAAAATTGTTTTGCTTAGCTGTAGCAATGCAAAGAGAAAATCGATTAAGAGAATCGATCATCGCGTATTCGCCTTTATGCATGCTCACTGTCGATTTGGTGAAAATAGAGATTTCTCGCGCCACTTTTCAAATAGACCAATGTAACAAATGTAAACAAACCGAGTTAAGCGATACAAACTGTTGCTCTTCTATCATTGTATGTCATACAAAAACATCCATCCAAATTCACTTTCATTTATTTAAGATAGGTAAAAAATTGTCCAATGTACAGTTAGAAATGATGGGTACATGATTGTTACTTCGGTCATTCGGACTGCCTAACATGATTGGTGCTCATTTTCCAAAGGCGGGGCCAATCTAAAGTTAGGTACTATACTCTGAAATCTGTGAAAGGGAATCTAGTATCATGTAGACAAAACGTCCAATGTAACACTCATTGATTATGTCATTGAGAAAAATCGTCCAATGTAGCATGTCCGATGTACAACTCGACTTGTCAAAACGTCCTATGTGATTTTTTCTATGTTGTAGCATGAAATTCAAAGTAAAATTGTGATTTTACTGTTTCTTCTGAATTTTCAACGTTATTATATGCTGACTACATTAAAAATAGTATTGCAAAATGTATTGTTTTTAAACAGGTAAATTAATAATCTGTCGAACTTCAACTTCGATTTTCTCAAAATGGTGGATATGTTACATTGGTCTATTTGAAAAGTGACGCGAGATTTCTAAAGTGTGATTGTGTCAGTGATTTGTTTTTATCGGGAAAATTTTCCGCTATGAAGTTTTTTTCCTGATGAATTTTGCGTATACCTATACGTGACGTTGTGTGCGTACGATAAACGTCAGCAATTTCTATGCTAGTTCAATCCGATGGTAATCAAATTCATCATAATTCTAGACTAACATTTGAAAGGGGCGGAAGAGCCAAAATGTAAACAAACCATATTTTGCCACATATAGAGAGAATAGTTCACAAACTACTCGATAAACACGAAAAAGTAGAAGAAAATATCACTTCAAATCATCAAACACGTTTCTTCTTACATGGCGTATTTCCAACTTTCAACTCTAAGGCTCTGAACCATTTGGTGGATTATTTTAACTTTTGGTTAAAATTTGACAGATGAAAAGTTATCGATTAACCCTGCTATCCGAGCATGGTTATTTCTGACAGACAAGAAGTTAAATTTTGACAACCGTGGCTCGAAAACCGGTCGATCGACAGCACGGGGATTTTCGAACATAGAAAATAACTTTCGAAATGTCACTTTTAACCACGAGTTAAATTTAACTCGGCAAATGGTTCACAGCCTAAGATGCATCTGGTTGTTACGCCTTGGACCAGAACTACGAATTATATCGTTTTATTATGCCAAACGTATTGAGTCTGTAGTATCTAGTCACGCCCGATTCATTTGAAATGCATCCGATTGATAGTTCACGTGTAAACAACGAACAAAAAGAAGACCAAAAAAATCTCCGGGCGTAATTCCACTCTCACAAAATTTGCGAACGAAGAACCAAGGCGGAACAACAAACAAAAAGTCCCGAGGGTGTACTTCCACGGCGTATCACCAGTGTTGGCAGTTCAAAGGGTGGAAGATCCGGGGGGCAGTGCTGCACAATTTCGACAATACACGGTGATACTCAAAATTCTGCTTTGGTCACTCGTTTGAGCTAACAGTCATCGTCAAGGCAAACCATGTCAATTGTCAGTGGCATTTTTGTCAGTGACGAACATGTGCTGATTTGTTTATTAGCTAAATTTAAAATGAAATTAAATGGCTTGAGGAAAACAATCACATGGAGCCATTAAAGTGAACAAGCATCTACGTCCTGAACAGCTTGGATAACAATAATGTGACTCAGAATGCAAGAAATTACCCTTTCTGTTACCAGGTGAATCTTTGTCATTGACGAAAAAATGAATGAGATTTTGACAAAGATTTTTTTGAGGATCAAGTCTATCATTGACTATGTGAAAAACAATTTTGTCAATATCGCGCAAAAGTCTGTCACTGACAATGACAAATCTCAGCACTGCCGGGGGGTAACAACATGTATGAAATTATCAGGGCGTATGATGTTTTCTTCTCGATTTCACGACATAGAAAACTTTTTTTGAGTTTTTAGTGATGCATGATGATAGATTATACTATTAACTATATGTCAAGTTTATAAAATCATCCAGAAAATGGAAAGTCGTGAAATAGGATTAATTTTTAGGTCATCAAAATTCAGAAGCGATTTTCTCGATATGGTCATTTTGGAATTACGCCCTTTTCAAATGTTAGTCTAGAATTGACATCGGGATGGCAGCCATGCAAAGGAAAAAACTACAAGGGACAACCCAATGGGGTTGTACGCAATGATGACGTAGGACAACGTGGTATGATATAATAAATATTTTTGTTAACTGCAGCAGGAGTTTGTGTTTTGTGTAGGAATAGGAATTTTAGC